AGGTTAGTAGTTTATTTAAAAAAAAACATAAATATCTTTTAATTTTTAAGATATTAAAAAAATTACACCTCTTAAAAAGTATATAATACTCTCTTAACTTCAGGAATACCATAATAAGTATTTAAAAAAATTTATATCTATTTAATCCAAAGGCACTTTTCCGTTGACTCGTTAATTTAAAAAATAATAAAAGTCTTGGTTTTAGAAATAAAAAGAATCACTTATAATGGAGCATTAGCTTAGTTGGGGCTGTAAATTACGTTCCAATTATATGATTTGGATTGGATTGAAATATGAAAAACTGAACCCATTAACCCAATCCCAAATGTATCTATCCAATGCCAAAATTTATAAGAAGATATTTCCCCATATGAAGCGACGTTGTCTTTGTGAGACAAAACATCACTAGTCCTTTGTTACCCAAATGGCATGCAACCATCTTTTAAACTTCAAAAACATTTCATTTGAACCCATTCAACTAAGAGATGCTCTTTATGTTCTGTCTGCTCACATATCACGTTTTACCCAAACTTATCGTACTGTTTCAATTATTTGCTCTTATTAGTAAAATTTGGGTCAAATGCCTATCCACTTTAGACACGTCCATTTAAAACTCAACAAGAAAATTAATTTCATATACTGATATACACAATGCTGATAAATAGAAAGCTGCATAAAAGGTTATCAGAAGACTTATAAATTTGACTTTTAGACTTTTCAAAACACTTTTTTTTTCTATAATACAGTTGGCCACGCTCAATCAAGTAACACGCATGTGTGATTATATCCCATGATCTTAGACCATTTTTACTCGTTATATTCGAAATTGCTTACCTAAAAATATTTAAATATATAAAGACTCTATCCCATCTTTGAATTGAACAACACAAAACTTACATGAATAACTTAAGATTATTCTGACAATCTTAAGTTCTGATTTTGTATTAATGTTTCTTCACTTTTCCTCTATTTTTGTATCTTTGTCATCCCTTTAAAACACAGCTATAGAAGGGTTATGCTTTTCTAAGATTTGGTTTTATGAAGGCTTGGATGATTGGGACTCCCATTTGTTTATTTACATTCTTTATCAAAATTTATAATTATAATCTCTGTTGTTATCTTAGTTTAAATAAACTTGAGCTGAGAAAAATCACTTCAGGCATAATTTAATATATATATATATATAACAATTTATTTAAATGATATTAATTTTAAAAATTATATATAATTAATAAAAGTGTGAATGAGCAAATAGAGGTATTAATAAACCTACCAACTAATACATTAAATTATAATTTGATGAAAATTTTTATAGGTTAGAGTAACAATGGAAATTACAATTATAAGTTGACAGTGAGGAAAGTGGATAGTTAAATGAGAGTGTCACTAACTCCACACATAATAAATCCTACCTAGAGCTATAATATTTTGGGATTGAAACAAAATCAACTAAAAATTAAGGTGAAATGTTGAACAATTCAATAATGCATATCATATGGATATAGCTTATATGAAAAAGAGAAGTGTCTAATTTTTTCTTTCCTAGCAATATTATTGTCCCTTATTGAAACATTATGATTTCTTCACACTGTATATGATGCAAACCTCTGTACATCGCTTGACATCTGTTTTTTCTATTTTCTATACGTTTCTTGCTGTTTGTTAGTCTTTGAATTCAGGTGAAGAACTTTTCTGGTTTCTGTCACTTCCTTCTCCTAACCCACTATATCCGATATATGATGCATGATACCGGTTAAAATAATAAATAGTTATTGTACTTTTATAATTTAATTTAATAAATATATACTTTTTTATAAAAAAATTCTTTCATAGAAGCTTAAACTCAGCCTAAAGTTAACAAACTACATGATCATTCTTACAAAAAATGTTACCAATATCATTTTTATAATCAAATATAAGATAAAGGGTTGAAATTTTACGTCAATTATATGTATAATCAAATAAAAACTTATAAAATTTAAATAATTCTCACTTTATCAACTAATTTTAAGGTTGAATGAGGACTTGAGCTCAAATTTATAAACAAGTCAAATTAATCCAAGTAACTATTCGTCTAGTGTAAATAATATCCAAGTCAAACCCTCAACTTTGGTCGCTGAAAATGTTCTATGAATAGAAAACTACCCTCAAATTTAAAACTCATTACATTACACACACACAAATTCACTATTAATTCTCTCTACGTTATCTTCAATTCAGAAAATGAGAATAATGTTTTAAAAAATGTTCATCTATTAAACGTTCAAACCAAAAAAATCATTTTGTCATTTAAACATCTAAACAAGGAACTACTACTCGTCAATTCCCACAATAATAATTGATCTTCACAGTTATGTTTGGAACAAATGAAATGAAATAAAATAAGATGATATAAAATTAAAATTAAATTAAATATTATACCATTATTTAAGTATGCTATGATTTATTGAATTGTTTGAAAATAAATAAAATGGTCTTATCCCATATTTTATATTTCTTTCTGCAGTTGTTGTTCAAATTTGATTCCGTGATTTTGTAATTAACTCGACGATCTAAGAAGTTATGCTCTCCATTTCATTTTCATTCAATTGCAGAATGAGTTGCATTACGAGTTACAGATACAGCACGGTTTTTCCGTTCCTTTTTTTTTTCGAGATCTTTGATTAGGATCGTTACAATTACCTATCCAGTGTTTTTCTACAGACATACAAAGTTCATTTTTTGAAAAAAGAATTCTTTCATTAACATTGTTATGAATGGAATATGATATGAACGCTTACTTACCAAACAACGTTGAAAATGAATGCATTCAATAGTATTGCTTTGCCAAACGAGATTGTCAGATTCTATGTTTTTAACTAGAATAATTTTAAATCCTCCTATCTTTTATTTTTATTAATTTTCTTAATTAATAAATAATTTTTTATTTTGCTATAAGAAAGGGTTAAAAAAAACCCAAAACAAACAAACAAACTTTTAAAATACTTACTTTTAAAAATAGTGGAATGATTATTCAAGATATTATTAACAAACGAAACTCGTGGTATACTTTTAATCTAAGATATTATTTTTTTATTATATTATGACCATGTATGAAATACTGAACTTGATGAAAGGATCATAACTAAGGTTGCAATTGCACATAATCTTGTTTGGACTTTAATTAATCTTATTGGTGATGTTCATATAGTTTGGTTTGGACTTATTGGCTTTTATTTTTTCGGAAGGACCTTATTGGTTGGTTTTCAAATTTATAGCAAGTTTTGATTTCTTTATTACCATTTTTAACCAATTTTGTAATTAACATTACGATTTGATTGAAGACAAATTATTAATTTTTAATCGATGAGGGAGTTAACCAGCCAATGTCCACATATTTCACTTTTCTAGCAACTTTGTCCCATTATAAGGCTACGGGAAGTAAGAAGACAAATTATTAATTTTTAACATTATTTGTATAGGTTAATTTTGCTCAATTTGATTGAATTTCATTTCTATACTAAGTTGTTTTTATTTTTTTATTTAATATTTTTTAGAGTTTGCCAAAGAAAATGGTTGCACTAGTTTTATCCTTCACGAATAAGATTATTTTCAGTAAAAGATACATATGATCTGAAAAATAGAAGAGAAGAAGATGCTAGTTGCAGAAATTTTAAAGCATGAAAGTGTAGCAAATCTTAGAGGTCTAATTAGGGGGGGAAAAAATAACAAACGCATCATATTAGCAAGAGGGCAATAAAAAGCTAAATTTGGAAGAAAATGAAAAGAATTTTATAATTACTCATTGAAGATTTGTGATCAATGCATTTGCAAACTGGATTGTTCAAGCCCCAACATAATTCATTAATGAATGCACTGTTGAAACAAAATACTCCACGTACAATTGAATTAGGTGGATTCTGTATATATTGACTGAATTCATACATACGTTCACGATTATACAATTATATTACCGTAAATTAAATCAGTTTTTCCTATCATTAGAGGATGACCTGCCACAAAGAAGACAATTTTCTAATGATGTTCACAGTGGATATGTGTCTTTCCCATTTTGTTTCAAATAATCGTGTTTTTCTGGAACTGTGAAATGGCAGCCGGCAAAGCTTGTAATACTGCTCTAGAGGTTATGTTCACATTCACAAACCTGATACTATGGCCCTACTGGAAACTCGACACACTGACAGTAATGGATAATTTTGATTCATTGGAAAAATAAGAAACTTTCAACTTAAACGAACTCTTAAGCCCTGCGTATAGAAGCTTGGAGACCAAAATATCTACAATTGCTTGTTATCTAGGAGACTTCAATGAAATTCCTGAAGTTAATGACAATAAAGGGGAGAGGATGTTGATATTTTACGGAACTCAACGCTTCTCTAATTGGATTTCTCAATGCAACTTAATTGACCGAGTCAACGGGTTCAAGGTTCACCTGGAGGAGAGTCCCAAACGGGTGGGCTTAGATAGAGATTAGCATCTTAAAAGAGCTCTGTAATAGTTTGTAGAAGGTTGAATACTTGAATTTCAAGAAGCTCAAGTCACTACCTTGGCAAGAGTACCCTCTTGTTACCACCCACTGTTGCTGCATATTCATAGACTTAAAGGTTGCATAAGTTTGGATACAAGATGGGGATCCTAATTTGCCCTTCCAAAATGTTAAATATCAATTCACTGATAAATTTTCCCCAACAGTAAACTTTTAGTACAGTTTATGGGATGTGCAGAATTTTTACCACTAGCTTCGCTGCTTCAACATCGGAGTAAACGGAGTTTCTTTTTTATGAGAAGAATTTATTGACAAGGGAAGAAATAAAGAAAGTAGCATCAGACAGCCTCCCAAAATAATGGAAAGCCCAAAAAAGAATTCAGAGAATCAAATATCGCGGAAAGTATCTTTCCCAAGCAGCACCTACAACTTATCGACCACAATTGCTATAGACCTATGGTGCTTTCAGTTCATCAGAATTATGACTAAGATCCACAGAAATTCAAACAATTCAATTAAGGTCTTGGAATTTGATAAGATTGGTCCTCAATTTACTAGAGCAAGTATACGATGAATACACAATAAGGCATTAAATTAAAAACTCAGTTTGATAAAACATAGACCCATAGGCACAATTTTTGAACAAAGTTTATCAAACAATTTTCAATGAACGATAATTTGAAATTCATCCACATTCCACTGTAAATTGGTGACACGATTTCACTTTGCTGTTAGACCAAAAAGTGACACCAAGCATCTTAAATCTTACACATGACATTACTCACAGGTCAAAGACTCAAAGCCAATCCTTCTGCTGCAATTTCAAGGGCAAATAAACTTCAGACAGATACTGAAAACCAAAGGTGCTCAAAGCCTGTATTTCAGCCTTCTGCTTAGTTTTGACCATCAATGACAATTCCTCGACCCAACCAGGATTCTTCTTGACAAAATCCTCCTCCAGCAAGTCCTTCCCAGTCTTAATATCCTGCTCAGTCATGGGCAACCTACACTGCTCAGGTATCTTGTACTTGTCCAGATCACTAGGCCTAACCCCAAGCCATTTGATATCAGGGGTCGTCAAGTTAGCACTGTCATAGGACATGTTCTTAGACCCACATCCATAAACTGACAGAATCTTCAACCCGTAGGGATCACTGTCAACAAGAGCCAGCACCGGCAGCTTCAACTCCGTCTTCATCTTCCTCAAGAACAGCCTCGTGGAAACATCAGGCTGCCCCTTCGCCGTAACAATTATGCATGGAAACCGGTTGTAGAACCTATCCTCAGCCAACCTCATATAAGCAGCATCCTTCTCCACCAACAGAATGAACAGAGCATCACTTTGCATATCCCCAACTCGATCAATATTGGGCGGAATCGCTTTCCCACCCATTCCCATCTTCGTGCAATCAATCATATCCCCATTGTCACTGAAAATCAACCTCCCTACAACCACCCCTTTCTCCGCAGCCACAACATTGAGACTGGACCGAGTGCATCCCAGCATGCACGAAACATCATCAAGAACAGCATCAGATTGAATCTGATTCACACATATAAAAAAAATTATTTCTTTAAAATAAAATTCTCAATACTTTAGAAAGAAAAAAAAAATACTGTTAAACTCTCACGTTAATCCCGGAAAGTACTTGAGATTTTAAAAATCCTTTATCACTGAAATTCATTTTAGTCTTTTTCACTTTATTTTTTACTAAAATCAAAGAGTAACAAAGAATTTTTAAAATCTTAGTAAGAAGACGTCTATTGATAGTTTGATACTTCTAAGTATCTATTGTCACTTAAACAAAAATAGTATGAATATTTTACATAAAAATCAGTTAAACAAAAATAACAATAGACACATGAGAACTACAATAATACTCTATGATCTAAATGCAAAACTAGTAAAACATGGCGGAGTAATACGAAGTGAATACCTGGTCCTGGAAGAGTTTGACGTCGGTGTAGAAGAGGTCACGCTTGGTGACGTGGATGCCTTTGATGCAGAGTTGGTGGATGAGTTGGAGGATGCGGGCGGTGATAGCGGATTTGCGAACGGTGGAGATGTTGGCGAAGGGGCGAAGGGAAGATTTGTCTTTGAGGACAATGCGGTCGAGTTGGGGGACGTAGAACTGGTTGGCAGCGGAGCGAGATGGAACGTCGAAGGAGAAGCCGTGGCCGGAGAGAATGGAGTGTGCGATCTTGAGAATGAGAGACTCGATGTTGGATTGGACGGAGGAGAGGGAGAGGTCCGCAACCTCGCGGCAGGAGAAGGGGAGGGATAGGTCTTGGAGGGTTAGGGTTTTGTCAGCAGCGGAGGAGGAGAAGGATGAAGATGCAGTTGAGAAGTCTTTGAGGGTTTCGAGGATCGCTGAGTCTGACTTCAACTTGTTCTTGAAGGGAAGCTCGTCGCCGGTGGACTCCGTCCGCCGCCGTTTTCTGTTGTCTGCCATGGCGGGAAATGAAATGAAATGGTTCCACAGATTTTGCTTTCTTCGGATTTGGATTTGGTGTTTGACTTTTGACTGTGAGTGTAAGAAGGAGTGAATGAATGAGCAGTGAACTTTGTTCGTTTCTGTCTTCTTTTAGTTTCTTTTTTTGTATAATATGTAATTAATAATTAATGAGTTTCGATTTTTGTTTCTCGAATTTTTACGTCAACGACTTTATTTTATTAATTTAGTGATGTAATTATTCAAATAATTTATTTTGTTATAAAATATATTTTTGTCTTTGTGTATTTGAATGTTTTAAAAGTATTTACTTATTTTTATATTCTTAAAAAATATATAAATATTTCTTAAAATTTATTCCAAACATACGCTTAATTTTAATTTAAAGTATTAAATATTTTAAACTTATATATAAATTAATTTAAATTATATATTTTTATTACAATGTGTATTTTATATTAAAAATACAAAATTTAATTCTCTAACTATAAAATAATACGCTCTTAATTTATTAATTTTAAAATAAGCAAATTGTTGTATCAACTTAACTTTAGTTAAATCATATAGTTCATTTTTATCTATTTAAATTAGATTAATTATTTCTTATAATAAACGTCATGCAGTTAATTTTTATTTATATTTAAAACTAAACAACGTATTACTTTGCATAGGTAAATGTCCAACCAAGATTAGCATGGTGCATTTGTTTACAAGTAAGGTAGATCTTTGAATAAAATTTATTAAAATTTTAAAAGCACGTAAAAAAATAAAATTAGGAATAAAAAATAAAATCTATGTAAATTTTATTTTTTAGTAAATATTAATCAATTACTAAAAATATATCATAAAATATGTTTAAAATTAATATCACTCTTTGCTTTCCCATCAATTTGTATATATTTTATTGTTATCTTATTTATTTTATTATTAAAAGATATATTAATTATAACTGTTATGTATTTTTTATTTTTACTTTATTATTATATTTTTATTATTATTAACTTTTTATAAAAATAATTTTATCATTTTTATATATTATATTAGCCAATTCATTAAGTTATAAGATAAGAGTTAATTTTATTTGTATGTTTTTTTATTTAATTTAATTTGTATCTGATTCAGGCCGTGTATTTAAATAGGGTGAATGAACCTATTACCAAAATTTTTTTATATACATAATAACTCAAATTTAAAATTTAATTAAGCAATATTAAACCACTTTATGTTGATATTATTTGTATATTTTTTTATTTTTATTCTGAATTCCCATGTTATTCATTTGAATCTGTATTAATCTCCAAATAATTTTTAGTCACGAGCTTTGATTTGAATAAGTGTGATTTTGATCACTATTTTTATTTATCGAATGTGTGAATGTGCAACTTCACGATTTTATCGTCAATTCTTTCTTCGTCGCACTGATTATTTTTTTTTTCTATATGGTGGATTAAAATAAATTCCGTAACCTAAAACATCAGAAATTGATATCCTCACCCAAAAGCGTACCAGACGTAGAAGAAACAGTAAAGAATATCCCAAGAATAAATGTTCCAATTATTATCCAATACATTAAAAATTAAAAACACAAATTGTATTTGACAACTCTAACATGCATAACTTGCTTGTAAAATTATTTTCAGTTTTTAATTTAATTTTCAAATATTTATAAGTACAACTTACTTTAAAGATCTATAAATTTACCCACGTGTTTTTAATAAACCTCATTTCAAATATATAAATATAACATGAAGTTTACATAAATGAACTAAAACTAAATATATAAATAAATTCAGATACGAAGAATTAACAAGCCAATCATTAATCAACTATCTTTTCGTTGGTCGGCGCAAGCCTCGCTCGCTCCTGCAAATTTCATGGCGGCCATTACCCGCCTTGCGAAGCGCGTGTCCTCCGTCTCTGCCATCGCCACGAGATGCTTGACCTCCTGCGAAGTCAATTCTCACGCACCGCCGCACGACGCCGCGCCCTTCCGCCTGGTTGCGCCGCGCGAAGATCTGAACAACAGGCGCGTCCAGTGGGTCTTCTTGGGCTGTCCCGGCGTCGGAAAAGGAACCTACGCCAGTCGCCTCTCTAACCTTCTCGGCGTCCCTCACATCGCCACCGGCGATCTCGTTCGCGAGGAACTCGCCTCCTCTGGCCCTCTCTCTTCTCAGGTTTTCTCTTCCTGCCTAGTTCTTCGCTTCGAACTTGCTAGGTTAATTTTCGACTCGATGAATTTTCTCTTCATTGAGCGCAAAATTAATGTAATTTGTTTACGATTGTTGAATTTTTCTGCTCTGCTTTACGTTAAGTTTAGCTTCTGCTTGCTGCCAAAAGAGAATAGGAATATAAATTTAGTTGTTACAAAAAAAAAATCTTATAGCGTTGGTTTTTTGTAGCTTTCTATGTATTTTGTATCATAATATGTTGGTGTTAATTTTATTTGTTGGAATCTGAAGGAATTTAGACAATTTCATTCATGTGCATCGTTGTCTCACTCTGCATAACAACTACTTGTGGGTCTTTTTGTCATTTTGCAAGGACTTTTGGACTCAAGTGCCTTGCATAGGAATTGTATAAAAATTATATGATCCTTCACTAACTTGTCCCTTGCATGAAAGCCATTGCTTACGGGCCCCTTTTTGGAAATAAAAAGGAGGAAAAAAAAACGTATGCAAAAGTATCAAGCTTCTTAAAAATTGAGGGAGAGGGAATTTGCGCATGCAGCGAACCTGCAGGTAGAGCAGTTCCTGCCTTGCCACAAACGGGATGTCACTATCAACAGAACTTGATATTCTAGTCTTATGCTAAGTTGTGGCATGACTAGCATCTATGTGTAAAGACTTTAGTCAGACAAAAAGTTCTTCAATCTGGTGGTATCAGAAACTAGGATGTTTTAATTCTTTGGTTTTTGTTGGACTGAAATACCTCACTGGAAATCAAGAGGCTGTCAATCACCTCCTTTTGGTTTGTTAAAGAAAACTGGTTATCAAAGTGGAGTAGCATCATGTGTCATAATCTTATTTAAACTTGTGATTGGAGATTTGTGCTTCTGATGCATTTCAAATAGTTTGGTATAATAATATTATCTATATTTTAGCTCCATCCAGTTATCCCTTGTACTTTTTGATTTCTAATTTTTGGTTTTTTACAGCTATCAGAAATTGTAAAACAAGGTCAATTGGTGTCGGATGAAATTATTATAAATTTGTTGTCGAAGAGACTTGTTGCCGGGGAAGCTAAGGGCGAATTAGGATTTATTCTTGATGGTTTTCCTCGAACGATAAAACAAGCAGTGAGTTTCTTCACTTTGGTAAAGTGTAGTTCATTATAGGTACTGCCCCTTATTTATTGTTTTACTAAATCTTCACATGAAGACAGGGAAATATTGATAGTTTTGAAACCCAAAAATGTAATTTCTAATGAAAGTAAATGAAGAAAATTTTCTTTGTATGGATAATATGATTATTTCATATGACAACCTAACTTATCTGGTTTCTTTATTTTCCCATCTAATAAGCTACTACTTTCTGTCATTATCTTTGGAAATACTTTTACACCCTTGATAAGTGTACCATGGTCACACCCATGTTCTCTCTATATTAATGTATGTCTATTTATTGCATTTCATCTTTTGATGTTTACCCAGATACTTACCATTCAAACAACTTTAATTTCTCTCCTATGTGTTGGAGTTGCAACAATTCTGTGGCATGCTTCTATTCATAGAAGCAGTTAAGTAATAAAATACTCAAATTTCAGTTTGCATTTTTTTTTATTCTCAGGAAATATTGGAAGGGGTAACTGACATTGACTTGGTAATCAATCTGAAGCTCCGAGAAGATGTTCTTCTTAAGAAATGCCTGGGTAGGAGAATTTGCAATCAATGTGGGGGTAATTTTAATATTGCCTCCATTAACATCAAGGCTGATAATGGGAGCCCTGGAATTATTATGGCTCCACTTCTTCCTCCTGCAAATTGTATGTCAAAGCTCATTACTCGATCAGATGATACTGAAGCAGTGGTCAAGGAAAGGCTTCGAATATACAATGAAATGGTATTGCTGCATATTATTATTATTATTATTATTGGGTGAACTTCAGGAAGACTGGCTGTTTGAGCGACATCTTATCTGTGGCTTGTATATTTAACTTTATTTTGAAGGGTTTATGAAAGATCTGAGTGAATGTGTTGAAGAAGTTTCTGATTCCCTGTTGCTTATAATTACTTTCTTATAAATTATTTTCACTTTCCTTTCTAATTAGTGTAACATTTGATTTGTGTTATATCACAACTGCAGACTCAGCCTTTGGAGGAATATTACCGCAGTAGAGGAAAATTATTGGAGTTTAACCTGCCTGGAGGAATCCCAGAATCTTGGCCAAAGTTGCTACAAGCTCTTAATATTGATGATTATGAACACAAGCGGTCTGCTGCAGCATAAAGATGTAATAAATGTATCATAACATTAAGTATTTCATTCTTTGCGTGCATATATTGCATGCTTGGCAATTTTGCAGTAAGGGGAACCAAAGAAAGGCAACTTCTCTGTTAATATTATTTTGGATCAATAATGATATTGGAAAGTATTGTAATCTATAAAAACTTAATAGTGTTGGGTTTTCTTTCCGTTTTTAATTTGGTTATATGGGAGGGGTTTCAGTGCTTATAATATTTTTGGGAAGACTGAAGAGTGAATCTATCACAGTATTGCTATGTAGATAGATGGTTAGCAATAACCTTCAATGGGTTTGGTGTATCTTCACTATATTGTTGTAACTTAAATGCAAATGAACATCAAATGCTCAAAATTTACGAAGGCTTTTACTGGATTAACTTTCTGGAAAACCTATTTCACAACGTTACATGTTATTTGGATATCCTTTGGATTTCACGATGCTCATCGGTGACTTCTTTTCTTTTTATATACTTGTTGCTTTTACGATGTGATCGTTGTTCAAAGAGTACAATAAGATTTATGTATTTCGTTGCTGGCAATGGTGTGGATCCCATCTTTCTTGAATAGGAATTTTTGTTTACCTTCAAGATCAGTCAGTTTGATTATGGTTAGTAGTTTCTACTAAAATTCAATATTCTGTAAAAATTGCCCTCATGGCAGCGAGGGGATTTTTGTGTTTGGCATCTGTGGGTTCTTTTTTCCAGGAGTGGTTGGGCTGGAATTTGTGAGTGGATCCTCTCTCCATTGCAGCTGGCCGAGCTGGTTGGCTGAAAGATTGCTAGCCGGTAAGTTTAAACGGCTGCTAAATCAAACAAGGTGTATAATCAGCTCTTGACTGCTAAAGTTTACGTGGTACAAGATAGATCGTGCCTTAAATTTATTTGATTTTACTTTCATAAACTTATCCAGTTTTTTGTAGTTTAGAGTACAGGTGACTTCTAGAGAGTATATTTGGGAGGGAGTTTTTGGAAAAGAAAGGAAGAAAAGACATTTTTTTTAATTTTTAATTAAAAGAATTATATATTATTTGTAATGATAAATATATTATTAATACATTAAATTTTTGTTAATATATTAATTTATATCTTTTATTTTAAAAAATATCATTTTTAAATATATTTATTTAAAATATAAATTTTGCTCTCTCCTTTATTTTCTTTCAAAACTTTCATTCTCAAACAACTCGTGAAAAAGTTCTATTGGAGTCAGAAACATTTACATTTGCAGTATGTGGAATTAGTTCTTCCAATAACTTTTTGTTTTCATGCATAAAATTAGAATCCAAAACCTTGTTTGAGGAGAACCAAACATGTATTATTTGATTGAGTATTTGACTCAAATTTGGTTTCCCCACAGTCAAATTGGGTTTCTACTCTCCCTTGCATTTACTTGAAAGAGTAAATAATCAAATTAGATCCTTATTATCCAATGATGAGCTCCACTCTTATCCCAATGGAGTATCTCTATGGAATTCAAAAGCTACAAAGAACATTTATAGGGGACGGGGGTGGGAGAGGAAGAGAGTAAGCAGAATGTCATGTCATAGGCTGGAAACCATGGTAAATCCACAAATGCTTGGATGGCTAGCAGTTGGAAATTTGACTATGACGTACACAGCCTCTTTAATGAAACTATGATAGCAAATCAGGACTAACGAGGATGCTCTCCGGACCAAAGAATAAAAGGAAAATATGATATATGTGCTATCTCAAAGGAAGTAGCAGCGGACTCTTATTTTGAAAGAGTATTACTTTCATGTGGCTCAAGTTTAGCCCATTGCAGGTGAGTTCAATCGAAATTGTAAAAGGACGATTGCTTGCCACGATAAATGGTTTTAGACCAATCAGTTGTGTGTGTGTGTGTGTGTTGAATTATTCTAAGATTTAAATATTATTTTAATTATTGTACAAATATTTTTTATCAAACTTTCAAACACAAATTTCTCATACCTACATTGATATATAATCATATTATTTAAAGTTAATAAATCACCTTTCATAATATGTCATAAATCATCCAGCATTCTTTCAATTTGTTTTGATGGTGAGTTTTAGTTTGGTCTCTTTACATAACATTCTTTTTTATACTTGTAGTTTAACCTTTTTTATAATAATTAAAATAAAAATGTGTTATGTATAGAAATTATAATTATAATTTTGTTATGTATAAGGATTAAAATAAATTTTGTTTAAATATATTATATAACATTGTTATATGAACATTAGAGACTATTTTGAAATTTTTTTATGTAGGGAATTATTTATATATTTTTTATAAGGATCAAATTTAAAATACAAAATTTGTATTAAAAAAATAATATTTAAACCTTCTTTTAAGTGATATTTTTTCTTAAAAATATCTGAACTTAACTCTATCACTACAATCAGGTATATTAGAATAATAAAAAAATAATAAAAAATAAGATTTTAAAATAATATTTTATTTAATAGTGTAATTTTTAAATTAAATGTCAATAATTAAGATACATTAATAATCATAATTTTAAATAATAATACTTTTAAACATAAAATTTAAATTAAAAATAAATTAAATTATGTACTTAAATACAATAAAGTATACATGTACATTTGTTTGTGCCTTTAAAATATCTTTTAAAAATTATAAAATAAAATATTATAAAACTATTAACATATGCCACTTATCTAAAAAATATAAATCACATAAAAATTAAACATTGATAAATACAGTGATAAATAAAAAGCTTTTTAAATTATAAATTTAAAATATCAAAATAAATCTTAAATATTAAAATGAAAAAAATTAAAAAGTTTATATAATCATAAAACTAATCGAATATAATATATCAATGAAAATTAGATAAATTATAATGTATGTCCAGATAAAAGTGTATTGGTATGTTTTTTTTTTAAGTTTAACACTTAATATTAATGAATCTTAATTCATATATCATTTATAACTATGTATATTAAATTTTACACAATTTAGATATTTATAAGTGTTATTTAAAATTTTATTACATATTAAAATAAAAGTAATAAGATGTAATTATTATTTATTTTATTTTTAATAAAATTTTATAAAATAAAATTATTTAATAAGAATCTCTAAATTTATTGATTGAATTAATTAAAAATATTTTAGTTTTAACAAAATGTATATCTTTCTTGAAAAGATGATTTATTTAAAATGATTTTAAAAATCAAGATTTAAAGAAATAACAAAGTTAAAAGACTGAATAAAAATAAAATTGATATTAATCTATTAATTTATCCATCAAATATTTAAAATAAAACTCTTGAAGCAGAGATAATATGAGAGGGAAGGGAAGGTTAACATTCCACGTAGCGGAATAAGGACCCGACACCATGTGACGATTATACACTTGCTATCTTTACATCACAAGAAGCAGCAATATTTTGCAAATTCACATTTGCTTCACCTTTAAGTATTGTTTCTTTTCTTACATTTTATTATTCAATTATATCAATTCAAGTTTAACTCTGCAAAGAGTCTCTTCTTCATTCCCCTGCATAAATGACCACGTGCCTGCCACTCCTTCTTCTTCTTCTTCTTTTCCCCTTTCTGTCATGTGATGTGCACATCATAACATTTTCTACTTTCTACCTTGGAAAACAATGTTCCTACAATTTTCAGAAATGTTTTAATTGTTTTAATCAATGAACCAAATTTATTTATTTTTAAAATAAAAACTTAATTGGTCTAAAATATTTTTAAAATCACATATAATTAATATTTAAATCTTTTTTTTGGTTGTATCACGCCCTAAACTTTCATTTATGTTAACACAAATTCTAAACATTACATTATTTTTTACATCTTTATTGAACATACTTATATGTCTAATAAGATAGAAGAGATAGTTTTGAGTTTGAGAACTTACAAAAATGGAGTTATGGAAAAAACTACAGAACATTTTCTTAATATATTAATAATGTTATCCATATATTTCCATACACACCTTTTTAAAAATATACGGTTTAATTTCACGTGTACAAATATAAGCTTTCATATTTTAATTTTATTATGCTCATAAATGAAAGATAATACATTTTTCAATAATGTACAAGAATTCTTTTCTTCCCTTTATACAAAACAAAATCTACTTAATTTCAATATTAACTTGTGATTTTCTTAGTTCAGCTAATAGTATTGTATTAAGCAATTTGATTTTTCTGCTGTATTTATTAAGTATACAAGTTAATAAATAAAAATAATTTTTTATTTTAACTTTTATTCTACAAGCTTAATGCACAGGATAAAATAATTAATCCTATGCATTATATACACATATTAATAATTAAAATAAAAAATTTCTGATATAATAAAAAGTTATTATAATTTTAACGTAAGAAATTATTTATATTAGAAAAATTCTAACTCTAAATTTATACAAACGATGTATAAAATAAAAATTATAAAGATATTTTTATAATTTCCAATTTTATTTGGTTGAATTGCTTTGTCTTTTTTATCCACGTTTTTTTCAGGCTTCTGGAGAAAAGGTGGCTTGCTGAAAACTTGGACGATTACACGAACAAGGTTATTATCGTCCTTTGAGAACGGTTCCAATCGACGTTCCAGAAAAGGCTGGAAACTTGTCACGGGAGATGGCGCCACGTGTCCCCCTACATATCTTGAAGATCTTCCCCTTCGCCATATTGACCCTCGAGCACGCGGCTTTAGATTTCATCCAGGTCGGCAACATCCCCGAGTCCTACGTGGAAATATCTCGTTCCTACGTGGCACTTCTTGAACATTCCACACCTCCACTTCGTCCACGTCACCAGCCGCGGTCATCGCGGTCCGAACCAACCCAATATTTTTCTCCTTTCCCCTAAAGTAACGTCGGCGTTATCTGCTTCCTTACCGTACTTTGAGATTAGTCAAGTTCCTTTCACTTCCCACAACAAAACACAACCTTGTTCCTGATTTTTCCCCCTTTTCCCTCAACTATTTTTTCACAATTTGTTTATCCCAATTTTATTTAGCTTTTCATTTTAACTGCAATTTTATAATTATTATGATGTAATACTAATCTTTTTATAATGACTCGATAATGGCGATTAGCGAAGTTTCTGCGCTGGTAATCCTCGTATCATTTGTTTTCTTTTCAGCTTTTTGCTTCGGAATGAGAAAATCTAGCTTCTATTTCCAAATCTATTCGTTTTTGACAGTGTCAGCGTTTTAGCATAAAGAATACGATGCAACGTTTCTGGTTTTGGATGTTCATGTTCAAGCAAAGATCTCTTCTGTGTTTATGGTTACAGCTTTGACGTTTTGGATTTTAAGTAAGTCAAATCTCGAAATTCTTTTGTTAAGTTTTTCAACTTAGTTAGGGTTTTGAAGATACTTTTTTAAAAATAGCGGATTAGTATTTGTTCTAGATCCATGGTTGGTTGTGAATTGCTTTTTAGTGTTGGATTTGAAGTGAATAATCTAAGAAAGGGATACTCTGCTATTACAGGGTGAGAACGGCAGAAAGGGTTTTGTTTGAGAGCACTGTGGATATTTGGTCGGGGACTTCGTTAGTGTTAGACTATTAGTCGTAGAGATCTTGTTATTTTCTTTTTAACTGCATATCTAGCGAGTTGCAGTTGCAGTTGCATTTGGGTTGGGGTTCCCGAAGATTATTGCGTTTGCTGTTTTCGTTTGGATGAGGACGGGTTATAATCACTGTGAATTTGGGCATTCTGGATGACAAGGGTGTCCAGATGAGTGTCGATGGCGACAGCAAAGAACTGAATCAGCGCTTACGAGATGGGAAGAAGATTGCTGGTGGGGAACATGGCTTATGTGAGGGCGATGAAGTGAAATGTAATGGAGTGGCTGAAGAAGTTAAGGTTGGACAGGGGGGGACTGTGGAATTCTCCTCTGTCCAGCAGCATATACCACAGCAACAGCCTCAAGGGGCAATAATTTGTTGGGAGAGATTTTTGCATATTAGATCCCTTAAGGTCTTGCTTGTGGAGAATGATGACTCTACCCGCCATGTTGTCACTGCCCTGCTTCGTAATTGTAGTTATGAAGGTTAGTTATTACCTGTTTCTTATTGAATCCCTTATTTGGTTAGGCCTTGACACCAATCTTTTAATAAGTACTGTTTGCATTGTCAAATTTATGTTGCTTACCTCCTTTTGTATGTTGATTAGCTGCACATACTACTGCATGCATACTCAAAATGATAGGTGTATTAATTACCCTTCTCTTGCTGATATTATGACCATTCATGTGTATATAAATTGATTATATAATATCTGCAAGTTGCTCAATGACCTACTCAAATTTTATACTGCATGTCATTACATGTTAAATAGTTTCCTGCATCAAACTGCCTCCACTTTGTTTCCAATACTTGCACTTCTGACAACTTTTCAGTAGACCTGTTGAAGATTCCAAAATTCCTTGTGAATTCAATTCCATGGTTTCAAAAGCTTTTTTTTTTTTTTGGCATTTGAATTTCTTTAGCGTAGCCATTCAGAATAAATTTGAGGCTATCTGGCACTATATATCTCTTTCTTGTTGACTGATGGTGAATTTTGACTGTTTTCCTTAAATAACTTGATGGCTCAACGATTAACTATTTGAGCAAATTTAATGGTGCCTTACATGACTTCAATGAACTTCTGCTCATTGCTGACGTCCCTTGCTTAGGAACTTAAGCCCATAACAAACTTTTTTTATTTGTTGACTTTGTATGGATTACTTGTGGAATATTCATCAATTTATGATTAGATTTTAAGTTTTTCCACAATGCCCACTTTGAACTTTTTCTTGATCCACCTTGTGTTACCTGGATTCCTTTGCCTAGATCTCTCAAAGTGGTGACCATGGTTGATCTAACAAGTTAGATAAATCTCGTTCTAAGTGTGATCACTATCACAAAGTTGAACACAATATCAACAAGTCTTTTGCATATAGTTGCCCTCCTTTGATTGCCAATGTTACACATTGTTTCATCTGCTCCACTAAGCTTGCCTTGCTAATATCTGATTGTTAGGCATATTTGACTATCCTTATTGGTTTCCTTCAGTGGTGATATGAGGAGCATCAAGAATCCGATTCAACTGATTCAAATGTGCACGCAAATTATTTCTTTTGATGGTCTCTCTCACTTAACATAGCTTGATCCATGAGTCCTTGACTTTAAATTTGGAAATGAGAAACAATTTTATTAATAGAAAAATAGAAAGAGATGTAGAGAAAAGAGCAGAATGTCCCCAGATCTAGAGGATCTCTCCAGGCCCTGTTCAAGCATATTAGAATACAGGGTAACCAAGCTTTTGATATCTATTGTAATAGACTTAATTGTAACAGCTTAGTTTTTGTTGTAAAGTTTAGTTACTTTAAAATGTTAGCTGTTGAATTATAATAGGCTTCCATTTAGCTCATCTATGCTCCAACTGCAGATTAGTTATAGATTTAACTGTTTCTTTAGGACTCTTAAAAGTAGTTAACTTTGTGCATTGAATACTCACTTTGTGTAAGCCTTTGCATATTAGGTTGTCGTATGTAAAAGTACAGGCTATGTGTTTGTGCTTCTATATAAGAATTTACTTCTAGGTTGGATTTCTAGCTCTATGACATACTGAAATTGCAAGCTTTCATTGTTTCATAATAGATTGGTCAACTAATTGCTTGGTTTTCAGTACTTTTGCTTAATCACTGAACAAGGGGTGGCAAAGGTGGATTTGTTCTTGTTGAGAACTCACATTGATTATAGATATGAGCAAAGTACAGCATATAAAGATTTAGACAATGCTCATCTTACCAACTAGTTTTTGAGGTTTAGTTAGGTCAAGTCTGAATTTAAGACAATATTAGAGTCTTTCATAGATCTAATATTAGGCTACAGCTTGCCTGGTCCTGTTATTTTTCCCATTCAATTCACCTGGTTTATGGCTTTCTTAGTGCAATATATAAATGTTTAATTATGGGCATGAGAGAGGTACGTTAAGATCCCACATTGACTATAAATATACCAAATGTTGAGCTTATAAAGGCTCAAATAGTCCTCATTTTACAAATTAACTTTTGGGGTTGAGTTATGCCAAGCTCAAATTTAAGAGTTCTTAATGCTGTGATCAAACACACAATGATCTTGCATTTTACAATTTGAGTTCTTTGATTAATGGTGATCTATAATTATAGTGGGATGAGTTGTGATTACAAATCTGTGAACTAGAATGAAAGAGGATGTAATAGCATTGACAATTTGCAGCGAAAAAGGAATGTTTTTAACTTCTATTTATTAACTTTATGGGAAGTGGGAGAGCTAACTGGTTTTAATTGGGGTAGTTGTATAGATGCACAACATTGAAATAGTAATTGAGTTAAAAAATAAGCTTAATTGTATTTTTGGTCTTTCTGTGATGACTAATGTGTGATTTTTGTCCCCCGATAGTCATAATAAACTTGTACAATAGTCAAAAGTGTAATTAATCCTAAAATTTATAAACTTGTGCGTTATGAAGAAAGTTTTACAGTTTTTTTTTTTTTTTTGGGTGGGTTGGGGGGTGGGGGTGGGGATGGCTCCCCTCAAAATATATGTAGCTCCGGCCCCTATTTATGAGTGGCATCATTATAATTGTTGTTGTGAATATCTCTTATATCTTTGCTTAAGATCTTATTTGTGTTTTTCTTTTTCTTTTCTCCAGTTATTGATGCAGCAAATGGATTGCAAGCTTGGAAGATATTGGAGGATTTAACCAATCATATCGATCTTGTTTTGACTGAGGTAGCAATGCCAGGTTTATCAGGCATCGGTCTTCTATACAAGATTATGGGCCACAAAATGCGGAAAAATATTCCAGTAGTTAGTAAGTTTTTCCAAGTGCTTATATATGTTTGGTTTGAAGCATTTCTTTTTCTCATAACATGCTGTAAAAGAGCTACTCTTTTCTATGGCTTCTAATGGGATTGGTCTGCAGTGATGTCATCTCATGATTCTATGGGTTTAGTCTTTAAGTGTTTGTCAAAGGGAGCTGTTGACTTTCTTGTTAAACCCATACGGAAGAATGAGCTTAAAAATCTTTGGCAGCATGTTTGGAGAAGATGTCACAGTGTAAGCTGACTTGAATTTTCTTTCATGACATTACACTTTCTATTTCTTTTCTGGTGAATACATTAAAAATACATTATTAGCAGTCTGTTGCCTTTGCTAAATTTGTGGAGTCAATGTCATATCAGTATTGGTGTCTGTGCAAGAACCACCTGTTGTTATAATTATAATCATTATTATTTTGCAAAAATGTAGATAGGTTTTGCTCAATGTCAATGGCACATTTGCTATATCTTCTGTCATGCTTAAAATGTTTTGTTTTATTTGGTGTGGGCCTTCAATTATTCTGTTTATCATGACTCTATTATTTTTTTTCTCCCCCCTCAGTCTAGTGGAAGTGGCAGTGAAAGTGGCACACAAACCCAGAAGTCTGTAAAATCAAAGAGTCTTGAGAAGTCTGATAATAATTCTGGAAGCAATGATGAGGATGACAATGGAAGTGTGGGCCTGAATAATGGGGATGGAAGTGACAATGGTAGTGGCACTCAGGTATAAAGATATTTTGTTGGAAAACCTCCCATGCATGGAACTCAAGGTTAATGCTAGGTTTCATGTATGTCTTTTATTTTTTATTTGTTGATTCGTACTTATAAAATTTTCAAAAAGATATGGAATTATGATAGTGTTTAGTTGGATTGTTCTGTTATAGCCCCCACCTCACCCATCCACTAACTGCTTTACCTTTTTTTTTCTGCTTGTTTATATAATATATTTAAGCATAAAAGAAGAATAAAACTGAGTGTTTAGGCCTGCTGCAACTTGCTGACCACTAAGTAAGAAGAGACAATTATGAAAATCAACAAAAAAGGACATTGACCAAAATATATCAAATCTCTTTTATTTTTTTTCTCAAAATGTTAAGAGAGGTTCAGACTTCAGAAAAGTTTTCTATGAATCCGTTTGTCACACATGAACCAGAATTTTTATTGCCAAGTTTAACAGATATGGGCAATGGAGAGACCACAGGTATGAAAATTGGATAAGTCTTGAGCCACATTTGTTTTTCTGTATACCCCCTTCCCTCTTCATTTGAGTATGTGTATCAGTCCTGTGCAAATGGAGAAACATTTACTGATCTGATGTACGTGGCTGAGAAATTAATTATACTGACATTTTCTGTTTTGAAAACTTGGAACTGTGTAACTGTCTTGGTTTATGTTTTGTATATCATGTAAACTGGTTCACTTTGATACTGTCACATATTTTATAACAAAGAAACCTAAAGCTGTAAATGTTGAAATTTTTTTCTCTCAAATCCATATGATCTAAAAAAATTTTTGTGGATTGAGCAAGATGTGTGGCACATCGTGTTTGAATAATATAATGCAAAAAAAAAAGCAGTTTCATATAGTCTCTGCTGTCTGACTAGCATGAAATGCTTATCACTTGCTAGTATTTGAAAAAGTGAAAGGATAGAAACCTGCATGATTATATATGTCATCCATTAAGTAATGAAGCAAACAGTTCAACAGCAAACCCCACAGCCAGCCATCAGCCTGCTGGTTAAGTCTAACTAGCCAGTATTGTCATACAGAGGTCAAGTCGGTAACCAAATGTTACTTCTATTTTTTGTTTTTTCATTTGCAGAGCTCATGGACCAAACGTGCTGTTGAAGTTGATAGTCCTAAGCCAGTCTCCCAGTGGGATCAAATAGCTGAATGTCCTGATAGTACCTGTGCTCAAGTTGTTCACTCCAATGCTGAAATAGGTGGGAAGAAGGTGGTTCCTCTGGCTGCAAAGGAGTGTCCAGAACAGAAGGAACAACTTGGTAAGACCAAAGTGCCTTGATCTTCCTGTCTCTGCATTAACTCTCTCTCATTCAGAGTCACCCGGTGATATTATTGTGTTTTGGTTGAAGATTTTCATGGTATTAACTGTATCACCCTTTGCACAGTAGTGAACATAGAATCATGTTAGAATACAAGTTGTTTTGCAGAGGAATTTTTTGAGTATGAATATCTTCAATAGCATTGGCTTTAAGATTCTCTTCCTTATTTTCATTATGTTTCTCTGCTTTTGGGTTTTCCTTTTGAAACTTCATTTTGGTAGCACATGATTATTTAAAAGAGATTTAGATCCTAAATGTATTTCCAATGTGCTATACTATCTTGGTTCATTGAGTCATAACTCATAACTTGACAATGCTAAAATCACGAGTTTTGTTCCTGAATCTGGTACTGTGAATATAAAATTTTGAAGTACAGTTTCCTATTCTTATGTGAAATTCTATTTTGAAATGCTTAATCCATGCTTAGATGTTTTCAACATGCATCTATACTCAATTTCTTTTGGATGACACTTGACAGGCTTTGCAATGCATTGCTACTGGTTTACAGCTGCATTAGAGGGCCTTTTTTTTAAACAAACAATCTTGTTTCATTACCTGTTTCTAGTTGTGATTCATACCTACTGATCTCAGTCTTTTACCCCCTACCCTGTGTGTGAGTGTCCAGCTGTTCATGTATGCACTCATGTACCTACACGTATGTGCATGCATATGCACGAACCCTTTTTTGGGATGATTTATTGTATTTAATTATTTTCCCTGGACAACGTCAAAGGGATGAAAGTTGACTCAGTAGAGATATTGACTTAATGGTTGGCTATATAAATGGGATTCCAGTCAAAACTGCAGGTTCTAAACATAGCAACACGCTTGATGTTGGCCCCTCTAAATTCAATGAGCAAATAAATAGAGGACAACTGAACCTTAATTGTGAGAATCAATCTAGCAAGCTAAGGTGCAAAGGTCTATCATTGTCTGATGCTGTTACTAGCACTTCTGATTCTCAGATGCATAGTGGTGAATTTGAAGCCCTAAATAGAAGACCCAAATCCTCCGATGTTGAAAATAAAGGTACTAATAATGATGAAGAATTGCCGTCTCTTGAGCTCAGTTTAAAGAGGCTTAGAGGAGTTAAAGATGCAGGTATTACAATTCAGGATGAACGGAATGTTTTAAGACGTTCTGATCTGTCTGCTTTCTCAAGGTATGATGATTAAGTGTTCTTGTTTTAAGCAATTCTTAGTTAATTTTGAGATGGATGACTGGTTCAATTGTTAAAAGTCTTTTGCTACAGGTACAATGCCCCTAACACTAAGAAGTCTCCCACTGGATGTGTTGGAAGCAATTCTCCACATAATAATAGCTTAGAAGTTACAAAAAAGGATTCATCTCGAGATATTCAATCTCACTCTAGTGGCAATCCTCCTAACCAGAACTCAAATGGTGCTAGCAATAACATTGATATGGGATCCACTAATAATAATGCTTATGCTAAATCTGCAGTTATAAGTGAGCCAGCAGTAGCATCGACAACCAAATGTTTGTACCAAACATCTGCTTTCCAGCCTTTAAAGAACAATGTTGTTTGTACCTCTCAACAAGTTGCCTTGCATAATACTGAAGATACAACAGCAACAATGCTGGCACCACCTAAAGCAGACAGACATAAGGATTCTGCAACTCAGGACTTCCATCACCATTATGAAAACCATAACTGTATTGCTGACAACATGCAGCACCCGCTGCCACCAGATCATGATGCTGAATCCTTAAAGAAAATGGCTACTGCTGCACCACATTGTGGCTCATCAAATGTGGTTGAAGGGCCAATTGAAGGTAATGTTGGAAATCACAGTATTAATAGAAGTGCTTCTGGCAGCAACAATGGAAGCAATGGACAAAATGGGAGCAGCACAGCAGTTAATGCTGGAGGGACAAATATGGAAAGCAACAATGGACTCACTGGGAATAGTGGCAGTGGCGATGCTAGTGGGAGTGGAAGTGCCAACAGAGCAGATCAAAACAAGACTTCTCAAAGGGAAGCAGCCTTAACTAAATTTCGTCAGAAGAGAAAAGAGAGAAAGGAGAGGTGCTTTCATAAAAAGGTAATTAATCATAGTCCATATAAATAAGTGATTCATTATCTGTTACTATTAATAAGGACTGGAAATTTTTTGTGGATATATTGGAGAATATACCTCCTTCACTCAGATGTTGACCTCTGCAAAAACAGAAGAAAAATGCAAAAAATAAAAATAAAATAAAAAATTGAAAGATAATAATGGGATCCTGCAACGAACAGGGAATTCCCAACCCATTCCCCTCCTTTGTAAAACCTCTCAACTCTTGACTAACGTTTTGTCACTCTCCCAACCCTTCAAATCTATTCATTCTTTCTTTTCTCATCATGCCAGCTGCCTTGACTGTCCTACAATTTTCTTGTCTTTTTCTCTGCTGGGACCTCCAATTCCCTCCTTGTTACTCCTTCCATACCCACATTGTACGGTCTGCTCATTCAGTGTATTTGAATGAAAGCCCACGTTTTTTCCTCCTAGCATAATCTGATATTTTCTGATCATATGGTGCTACCTCATAATTATCAATAGTACGCTATAGTTGTGCAGATCAGCCATGAGCTGCTACAAAGTTTCAGTGGGGGATCATTTTTGAATTGTGGCCGTAGGGGCTGCAATTATGGCCAAAATAGTGGCCATAGTGGTGCTTTAGTGAGGCTTTTAAATGAAAAACCCATTTTCGCCCTCAAAACAACATGCTTTTTTGGGGGGTGGCCGTTGGGGCAAAGTTGAGATTGCCCTCTCCCTTTTCAGAATTTTAAAAAATTCCTAATTGGAAGTAGTTTCCCACACTTTTATCCGCTGTGCGACCCCCAAACACCCACCATCCCTTCTCTCTATTTTGTGCCACCTACACCCACCCTCCATTCTTTTCTCTATTTTAAACTTTGAATCACCTTTTGTTTTGAACTTCGAACCCTCAACCTCCTCTGTTCTTTACTCTGTGCAACCCACACCTTCACTTTTTGTTGAATGTTTATGATGTCTTGAATTTGAAATATGAATGTCTTTTGAATTTTGTTTGTTTCCTTAATAGTGGTCATCCTACTATTCACTATTTTATACCACTATGGTGTTTTTGGGGTCAACCACTGTGCTGCCGGTCAAGATTGATACCTATATGCTACCTTTGTTCTGACTTTACCATTCTCTGCATTTTCATTATTCCCTTTTCGTTTGTACATTCCATTTCTTTACTGTCATCTGATTTTCATGACTAGTGTGGTTATAATTTGAAAGGTTGATGGGGGAACTATGGACATCTGTTATAAGCCTTAATTTTGAGGGTGTATTAAATTTAGATTTTTCTGCTGCTCATAAACAGTATTTCTTGCTTTTTACTGTATTTCTTTTATACAATGGTTGGCAAGTAACTTCCCTAAATGGAGAGGATGAGTATGTTCGAATTTTTATGGATACAATAATTTTAGGTATTTACTATTTAGTGCTCTGCTAGTTGGATGCTTCTTCCTTTTACTCAGCCCTTATAGGTCTTTTTGAAAATTCCCTTAAAGGACGTGGAAAATATTTCGCGGAGTGTGAAGGATAACCAAATTTTTCAGCTGAATAATCACATTCCTCAGATTGATAAGATAACCGCTTTAGCTTCCTTCGTGCTTCTTTCTATCATTCCCTTACAAACTGATCAACCAGTTTGTAATTGCTTTTCATTCTTACCTTTTTCTGCGCATTAACAAGCAATTTATACATAGAAATGCTTGTAGATCTTAAGTGTTCTGTGGAAGTCAATTACTGTGGTTGAAAATTGGGTAATCTCTTTTCCTTGTTCATATCATGGGAGATAGGATTTTCTTAGGCTTTTTCTCTGTTAAATATAAAGGTTTTCATGAATATTCACATAACTTAAAAGACCTCTTTTTTGTTTGAAAAAACACTATCTGTTTTCATTTATTGTTTTCTCATTAATTACAAAAAATATCATTTTCTTTCCACTTTATTTCCTGTGTTCAAAGTGTCCATGAAATGATGAAAACTAAGTTTTGTTATGTCATAAATTTATACTTTGTTTCAGATATATTCATTAATTAGTGTCTTATGTATTAAATGAATAAATGTGTTCATTTATATGGGTAAAGAATGATTACCTTAGTAACACAAATCTCACAATCAACAAGGAACAATTTAGTAATTAATGCATTTAATATTTCTTTTAATTTGGACAAAAATATTCGTAGTTGTTTTTTATAAATAGAATCAAAAAACAGAAGGTAACACTGTTGTAGCTATTAGTAAAACAGAAAATGGAAACAAATGTCTTTTTTCTCTCTTATAAAACAAAACAGGCCCCAAGTTTTAGGTAGAGTTGATTGACAGATTATGAACTTTGTTGTTGAGTTGAACTAGGTCTTCCTTCCGGTGTTTATGAAACCACCCAGTAGAGTAAGGGATTGTAATGGGGTTGACCATTTCCAGTAGAATTAGGATGGTGTGTCGTGTGGAGCTAACTCAATATTTGAATGATAGGTTCGATATCAGAGCAGAAAGAAATTAGCTGAACAACGACCTCGATTTCGTGGACAATTTGTGCGACAGCCCTCAAACGAAAATGCAAGTGAGGCAACTGATAGCTGATCCATATAGCATTTGCCAGAATGACATAATGATAGGGATATGCGAGAAAAGGTCGAGGAACCTTAATGTAGAATTTGGGAATTGTTCTGTCTGTGTATTATGTTTATGTGTAATGACTCTGGTTATTCCGACTTGTTCTTTTGGAACCTGAATCAATTTATGTGGTGAGAGATTGTTATACTGATTGACGCGGAAAACTTTTAGCGACTCTATAGTTTATATACGTTTCTCATTGATATGATGCTGGGAGAATCTAAGTGTCTTGATTTATCAACTGGTGACTTATTTTGTATCTGTGGCTAGAACACGATAAGGAAATCCTACTATATCCTCAAAGGTGAAAATTGAGAAGTGGAATATACCCGTGGAAACAATTTTCACGCAAGCGAAAATTGCCATGACCTATCGAGTTAAAGCGCCATTACATGCAGTTATGCGCTGAGATGTATTCATCTTAATTTGCTTCTATTTTACGACAAATTAGTTCATAGATGTGACTGAATAGAAAACTTAGTCATTAGTCAGATATCACTGCGAATTGTTTCAGAAATATGTAATTGGAACCATGAATCTGTAAAAGGCTAGAGTAGGCTTCCAACAAAAGAATTCCTTCAGAAATTTACTTCAGGATTATGCAGGTCCCAAGAAACATGAATATTAAACAGTTAATAGAATCAAAGTGAGTTTGCTGTATGAGTAAAAATTGAAAGATGTGGCGGAAGAAACGTGTAAATTGGAATTGCCAAATGGTGTCTAAATACAATGGTAGTTGTTGAATAAATCACTACTTTGGTCCTTAATTTTGTAATTTTTCCCTCTAGTTTTGTCTTTAGTTTAATAAAGATTTTATTTTTGTTTTTAATTTATTCAAATGTATTTTAAGTTAGTTTTTATAATTATCCAATATTGATAAAAACTAATAGAATTGTTTATTTAGCATGTTTAACTTGACACATTACATGGTAAATCACACTTCAAAATGGTATTATATAACTCTTAAAGGGGTTAGCTATTAATATTTATGTTTAAATTTATCTCTTTCCATAAAAATTTAAAATTATAATCTTGTCCCTCATTTATCCTAAATTTTTATTGATATCCATTGTTTAACTTTCAATAATAGTAATTGGCACAATAAGTTGACATTTAACATTCTATGTGAACATTTTTGTTAAAGGTTATCAATGTTTACTAATGATAGGGATTTGTGTGATAGTTTTTTTAACAACTTAGTAATTAATTTTTTTTATTAAGTTAAAGAAGAAATTGAAATGAAATTACAAAGTTAAAAACTAAAGTGATAATTTAAACACAGTTATTCCTTTCTTTCACCTGTCTATGATTTCTTCTACTATTGAATCCAGCCATTTGAGCAATGGACGGATTAGAGAATCCAATATTTAACAATATAAATTATCTAAGGAACATTCAATTCATGAAATATGAATCTCGATTGACCTACGACATTTTATTTATGAAATCCCAATTCTCGAACCAAGAATTCCTGTCCCAGGAACTTTTGCAATCCTTTCATCATTATTAATTTTATTTGTATTTGGCAAATGTCTATTAATACCTTTAAACAATAAAAAAATGGAGTTTTTTGTAATTAAACATGTTTTTTTTTATCATAATTTTAATACATTTTCGGTGTATTTTTTTAATTAAAAGAATTTATTAATTAGATTTTTAAATAACATTTGAAAATATTAATCAATAAGATTATTATTATTTTTATAAGCATGAGCGAAACCCATAATGAAAGATTATTTCTATTGAAAAGAAAGAGTTTCATGACGTATCCATGAGCCTTTATATTTATTTAGTGCAAGAGACAAATACAATGATATGCACTGCTTTAAAAAGTTGATATTCATGAACCCTTATTCTTTATCCACACTAGGAAAGTATTCAATAGGACAAGCTTATAGCTTATTCAAAAGTTTATAACTTTTTTTTTTTAATATTCTAGTAAAATTGTTTGGTGAACAAATTGTAAAAGAAGTTTACAACTTTTAAAAGTTAACTTATTAAAAATTACTTCAAAAAATATAATGTATTTTTTTTTCTTATTTATACTCTTAACCTTAAATGTTTTATATCCTATTCACTTTCTCCCTCATTTCTCATTTAAATAATTAGTGATATTAAATAAAAATATTTAAGTAGTATTTGATAATAAGCAAATTAATGAATAATATTTAGTCTTAATATTATATGAATATAACATTACATTTTTAATCATTTTATACATTTTAATTAATTGCATGATTAATTTTATCAAACTACTCCAATTATCATTTAATTAAGTCATAATTTACAAGTAATAAACTTTCAATTAAATTTACCAACCTGAATACTTGCTCGAGATGGTTTTCACTCTGAACCTACTATTACTATACAGTCTTTTCCCTATTCACTTCTTAGATAGCTCTTTTTCACGTCACCCTTTTTTGTTTGCAAAGGCTCTCAATGAAGAACAAAGAACCTTGTGCGTAGATTAGCATGAATCCAATGATATATTATAACTTAACGTTGACACTGAACTTTGTGATTATAAAGGTCTATTCAACAACTTTTACTGATTCTAATGTATCTAATTATTTGGGTAACAACGTGAAAATAACTGGATGACAATTTTTAATATATAGTAAGTTAGCTTGTGCCCATATTCCTATGGACATGTCGTACGCGAATATTGGCTTTTTCAGCTGTGGTGGAATAAGTACTCTTAGAAAAGAAACATTTAAGAACAATGGAAAATGTGGATTCAACAACATATCATCATCCTTTACCAAAACAAACCAATCACTACACACAAGCAATTGATGTCTCTTATCTTCCACTTTGACTTGTCACGTGTGGGTGAAATTTTCAGGTAAAGGAAAGGGACATCACTTGGTCTAGACTAAACTTTAGTGTGCTAGATTATGGTGTGTGTAGATATATAATTTAATTAAATGCTTATTCTATATTATGATTTATGTTATAAATTTAGCCA